TCTGTGCAGTTTTCAGGAGGAATTGTGCCATCACATTCCACAAACAGTAAACAGTGTCAAGTTGTGAAAGGGCTTGTGCCAGTAAGTCTCACCTGTGATGCTTCTGGCAGGCCATCTAACCAGCACCCAGGGAAGGCTAACAGATTGGTGATGCACTGTCTCCTCACATTTTGCAGTCTTTGCTGGTGAAAGTAGGCTAGAGATCCCTGGCTTGGCCCTTTAGAGGGATTTCTTGCCAGGACAATGGGTTCCTGTAAGATGAAACAGAAGTCAGGCAAAGAGTAAGATATTGATATTTCCCCATGAGGTTATTTAGGATCCCAGAGGAAACCATACCTGAAAATGAAAAAGTCCTCAGTCACAGACTCAGAGAGGAGGTGCAGTGCATGTAAAGCTGTGAAAGTACCCCAGGAAACACAGGCCATTCACAAGGAGTATGTCCAGCTATAGAGTAGTAGAGATACTCAAACACACAAAAGGACAGTGTGGATTTAGACATTTTGGGGCTAGACTTGAGTCCTGGATACACTTCAGCTTTGCTTCAACTAACTCAGCTTTGTTATTTTCTTAAAGTGAATACAGTGCAGAGCTCTCTCCCAAAAGCTCTGGAAGCTGCTGGCCCAGTCCAGAAAGGGGGCTGCGTGTGTGACGCTCCTCTTCTATGATTTTTACTGCACAGTAGCTTTTACCCAGGTTCCAGCAGCATCCTGGTGGCACCAGTGATAACAGTGTAAAAAAGCATTTGGCCTCTTTTGGTTTGGACAGTCATCTGTGAGGCACTAAGAGAACTACCTACAGTGAGCTATTACAGCTGTTGGTCTCTGCTGACCTGGGCCAGATTTGATTGCTGATCCCGAGAGGAGAGGTTTCACTCTGTCATTCTTCTCCAGAGGTTTCTGCTCTTCCTGGAAAAAAAAATATTCAAGGGCATTTCTAATGGACACAGGAAAAACAAGCAAACACATCCCCAGGCTTTTACTTCTGTGCTGGTATTGCATTGCTTCCTGTGACCCTCTCTCCTCCCAGCAATGCCTAGATTTCAGGTTGCATAGGCTGGGTGGAATATATTTTAGAACAAGACTCTATTTAGCTGTGATGTCAACTGCAGCCAACTATAAAAAGCTCAGTAATGCTCTTTGAAAGTGTAACAGCTGCTGCTCTACACAGTCCCTGGTGTATTACAAGTCCGCCCTACTTCATGTTCACACAACCAAAATAAAATACAATAGCAATCATTAAATAGTTCAAGGAATTTGGGACATAATCTCCCCAGAAACCAGGAGGAATTCAAGGTTAGGTAAATTGAGTAATTTTGCACAGTTTGTTAACAGAAAGGTAATTTTACCTGGATTTACAAAATTGACTGACTTTTACCTCACATTCACTATGTGCTATCAATGATCCCTACACAGTGAGAACAGAGCAGCAAACCTTCCTTTGGGCAGCTCTAAAACAAGGGTGTTCTTCACACACAATTACAAACTGAGCTCTTGCCTGGGGTAAGTCCATTAATATTACCCAACATATAAAATCCATTTTCATCCTTAACTGGATTTGGCCATATGTATTTAAAAAACCACTGACCAGGCCAAAATTTCCCATAGAAGCAGGAAAGGAAACTGTTGAAGGAAACTGGATTTATTAATCTAGAGTGAACAGAGAGAAGTGAATGACTGTGGAATTGTACTAGCACTGCACACCCTCACAATACTGGAGAAGTGGTTATGGCTGGGTTTCTGTTAAGGACAGCCCTGAAATGGTGGATGTTGTAGTAAAGCTTTTTTTTTTTTTTTTTTTCTTCCCCAAAATCTGAGCGATAAACATTCAGGAGTTATCAGAACATTTCACTCTGTGGACTTGCTTCTACTGAGAACTTTAAAAAATCTTCCAGGCATATGTCTTCTTCACTAGAAAATGGGAAGGTTGAGCAACCTGCCCACAATGATGTGGAAGTTGGTGAGTGGCAGAGCAAAAAGGTGAGCCTGGCTGTGCTTTCTCCCTTCCCCATAGCTGCTGGCCTGCCATCTGGTGAGCTGGTATTACCAGTGGCACATCCAATTCGATTTCTGAAACCAGCTGAGACAGCGCAAACAATATGAATCCAGGAAGCAACACCTACATAAAAAAGAAGGAAAGTTTCAGAAGAAAACCTCATGAGTGCCCAGTTTGCTGTAGTGATTGCTTGAAGTCCTGCTGGACTGACCCGTGGCTTGGCAGGGCTTGTAGGAGGCACCGGCCAGGCTGAGGGACAGCACCCTCCTGCCTGGCAGAGCCTCCAGCTCCTTTCTGCATCTTTGTCAGGACTAAACAGTGCAAAGTGGCTGCAATGTTGCAGGCAGGGTGGTTTGGTTTGTAGTGCAGATAGGCCTCTGTAGTGTGGGTGGGGAGCAGCCTGTTCCAAGGGACGTGCCAACTCCTGTGACACGGGTTTGGCGCAGCCGTGAGCTCACCAGTCTGCGAGGAAATGGTCGCTGCCAGACACGGCTGTTACCAGAGGTGACAGGACAGGCAACGTGAGCAACAGTCTGGCATCAGCCAAAGCCGCTGGGATGGAAACATGCACACCATGGGATGGGCTTGGCATGTCTCTGAGCACTGGCTGCACCCAGCTCCCAAGCAGGGGTGTTTGATCTATGAGGAAATCAGAGGCACCCAGAAATGAAAGCAAGCAGTCTCCAGGCAGACAGAAAGCTTGGGAGGGAGCCAGGGAGCAGCCTTGGTGCCTATCCTTCCCTGACTCCCTGAAGGCTCTTTGGAAACCCCCTCGGGCTCCCCCACCTTGCCAGGGCTCCTGGCTGTTCAGGGTATGAGCAGGAAAAGGACCTGGCTTGGGAGGTGGTTCCTTCTACCCACAGATACACATGCAAACACACAGCGTGTGCTTGTTTAAATAAAGTGACATTGAAGAAAGGTGACTTGTGTCAACACAGAGACTAATTTACATGCTACAGTGTGTAGCAATATGGTGTCAGGTAAGAGCTGGCACATTTTTCGTGTCCAGCCGAGTACACATAATGATATGACAGGGGGAGACGACTAGCTGCGGAATTAAAGGTTGTGTTTTCTTTAACAGCACCTGGGAAACAGGATACTGGAAATCCTTGAACATTCAATAATCTCCTTGCCAGTGTCTCTAACAGTCTACAGATTTTTTTTAATATTTTACTATATCCCTTGACAAATAAGAGCTCAGTTCTTTAGATATTGAGCAGCCTCCATTCTAAATAGGGACAGCTGAAACTTTCTGCAAAGTTTTTCTCTACCTTTGTCTGAGGAATTGTGACAACCAAGTGGCTTCCACACTTCTAGAAGTGAGGTAAATTGTTGGCCATGAGCCCATTTGATTAAAGAAGAGAAAAATCAGTCCTGCAATGCTAGATAGGTGCCAAGATGAAGCTGTCTGTCTCTTACAATAGCCATGGAAACCTCAGGCTCACGGTGTTCTGACTCCCTGGCTATGATCTTCCACGGTGACCAATTGATTGATTTAATCCTTTCACTACTTTGTAGTCTTGGATCTCTGAGGTGTCAGGAAGAATCATCAAACCAACTCCTGCAACATATTAGAAGGGAACATCTTGTGCTGTATCACTGGGGAATAAAAAAAAAATACTTCCTTTCAAAACACATGTTTTTCCCTCTAATATATTTTACATGTTGAGGAAAACAAGTTCTTAAAAAAAATAAAATTAAGAAAATAAAAATAAAATTTGGACCCCTTTGCAATGAATGTGACCCCAAAGGTAACATCTTGTTTCTTTCACATGTGGTTATAAAAATTTTTCTCTTTGGATCTTCATGACTTACCAGCCCATCTGAGGGATTTTTCTCCTGTCTCTTAGACGACAGTTAGAAAGATGAAATTGTTAGATATTTTGTTGTGCATTAGGTTATTTGCCTCTAAGTAAGCATTATTATCACCAAACCAGATCATATTGGATACTCTTACTTATTTCTGTGGGATTTGGGAGTCCTCATCAGGATCAGCTCCCTCCTGACATGACCACTTAAGCCAGGGGACTGGACTATTGTAAAGTAATCAGCAGTGAGATAATTACATTTTTGCACCCAAAATGTAGTGAGAGGGGTTGGAACAAGCAGCCACTGACCTGCAAGAGGCATTTTCACACCACGGTGATAAGGCACAACCCTCAAAGATTGCTACTGCCCTCTTTTTGGATAGAGAGGATTAGCAAGATCCAGCTGTCTGTCATGGCTAACAGGCTATGGACACACTACCAGGGATGCCTGGGACTCCATCCGGCAAGGAATTTCCTTCCCCAGTCTTTGATCTAGGAAGAAATGCCAGCTAATGTTCCAAATATTAGAGCCTGTTCTTTAGCTGGAAAATACCATTGTTTTGTTGTTGTTTAAAGGCTACTTTAGAATTATAGTGATGGGCACTCCGTGGAGGCCTGTAATAATCAACATCATGAGACATTCAGGTATTTTGATCCTAAAGGCTTGTCTATACTAGAGATACAGTTTTTTTCTGTATCTCAATGAGGTTAAAGACAAACTGCTCGTGCCTATGTGTGTAGCTACACCTAAGTGAGGGCTTTTATCAGCAAAAGACCCAGTCCTTAACTCACATAATTGCACTGCTAAGGCTCCTTGAGTGCAGCCCAGCTTATATAGATTCTGCAGGCAGAAGGACTCCATAGAATTGCTCCTTTTGTCATGACAGTGCTTTATCTCGGGGGCCAGTGCTGACATTTCTAAGTGCTGTTAACCTCTGCTGCTTTAGGACTGGTATGTAGGAGTGCATCACCACTAAATCAGGCATTCATTCTCTCCTAGGAATGTTGTTCAGGAATCTAGCTGGTGGAACGTACTGACCTTGGTTAAGCTTTTCCTTTGAGAACTATTGCCCTGTTTTTCCCACACATGCCAGCCATCCCAGACCCCACTTAACAAGGTACACTATGAGGTCCCCAGTGGATAACTTCATGATTACTTTAAATTATATGTTAATATGTTGTTTCTCTCTTCATTCAAAGGTTTCATTATCTTGCAGCAAAGGATGTGAAAGGAAAATTATTCACATATCTCTGTGCCTAAGAGAAAAACGTATGATGTCTTCGGCAGCAATTCCTCTCAGTCATCAGCAAGATAGGGACCAGAAGGTGTGTAAATAAACTACAGACTATTTTAGCTGAAGGGGCTGGGCCAGACTATGGATGTACTAAACATGACAGTGTTGAAGTCTGGGTTGGTGAAAAGTAAGGGCTTGGCAGCTTAAGCAGATCCTGCCGGCTGTTTCTTTTACCATCTCTCTGATTCCCACTCCTCTTCTTGCAGCCTTTCACCCTGACAATTGTACTGACTTGGTTTACAGGGCTGGGCTGTGAATCAGATCTGGGAATAAAGCCAGGAGGGAGAGAGGCAGAAGAGATATAAAAGGAAGGAGGCTGCACTTCACTGCAAGCCAGTATTGCCACTGAAACCCCCATGTACCAAAATACAGCCTTCTGCAATGATGGAGAGAGGAGCCACAGCTTTTCCAAAAGGACAATCTGTAAGCCAAGAGAGGGCACAGTTAACCAGTGCAGCCCCTCCACAAACTTAGCTTTGTGACTCTGGCTTGCAACAAAGGATCTTGCACTACTGAGAAAGGATGTTACTGCTTATCTCCCAAAAATACAGCCTACTCGCAGACAGAGAGAATGAGAAGTCCTGGCTCAATAGTTTGTTCTGTGCTGTCCATTAGAAAACTGAACTGAAAAGGTTTTAGCTCAAAGTTTCCATTTTTGTTCACTAGCCTTACTCTCCATAATCTGCTCTGATTTTATTATCCTCAATAAGAAATAAAAAGAAATGAGAGGCGAAAAATATGTCAAAAGACTATTATCAGTCTGGTGAGTCCTATGTGATTCTCAGCAGTTCTGCTGTGCAGTACATTTCACTCTATAGTTGTTGCCACTGTGAGTAACTTCCAGGTCCACAAAAGCCACAAAGGAATGAAGTCAATAGATTTAGTCCTGCCAGCCTCTCCACTAGCAGTCCACAAATCAGAGGAGGTTGAAATTTCCTGCTGAAGTGCAGTACTACTCATACTGAACAAGGGAGATAAAAATAAACTTCCTGTACTGAAAAGATGTTCATTAGAGCAGAAGAGCACAGGTAGGAAGCAAACTATCGAGTGATCTGACTCTGGCAGAACAGCAGGATGGCTGGATAGGCGTGGCTGCTCTTTAGCCAGCAGTTTGGTATTGCAGCTGGGCTATGTACAAGCTGGTTTCTGTCTGTTTCCCATTTGCACTGCTTTCCTTATGTTGCATTTAGTGGCTGTGCAGCCACAGGGAGAATCTGTTCATCTGGCTGACAATGGGCAGACCAACCATGCCATAAAAATGAGGAGTTTTCAGCCATATCGGCCATCTGGATCAATTCACCCTGAAGCCACTCCATTGCTAGATCCAGTGCAAGGGAAAGGGCAGGAAATGCAGCTGGGAGCAGTGGTGGAGTGCAACCACTGCTATTTGGCATTAGCTCATGGCTGTAACTGCTGTGCCCAAAGGGACAACCTGCTCCCATCCTCGCTGCCCTGCTCCTGGCAGCATGCTCTTGCTGCTGCCAGTGGTTTAGCGACCCCTTGGTGAAGCAGGCCTGCCCTCTGAGCCAGCAGAGAACTAAGCCAGCTGCTTTAAAAGGTGAAGAGGCTTGCTGAGAGGTCCAACTAGCTTAGCTGACAACCAGGACATTGATGGGAGTGTGTGGTGCCCTGGGAGCAGCCCAGAGCTACAGACATCTCATGAAACCTCATTCTTAATTTAACTCAATGCAGGAGAAATAACCCCAGCCAACAGCAAAAAAAAGTGAGCTACAGCTGAGCAGCTGAGAACCAGCCACATGGTCTCCATTAAAGAGTGCATCTGATAATCAGAGGAAGAGGGACAGGCTTACTGCATGCTTTTGAAAGGTGTGTTATCCTTCTGTTTGCTGAATGGAAGGAGTGACGTGGATAGCGCCACGTGTTGCTCACACAGGCTTGCTCTCACCAGGAGAGAGGCAGGAGGAACAGCAGTTTTGCACAGAAATCTCCTCTCTGCTTATCATTTCCCATGCCTCTGGATAGTTTGGAGTTTCAAAGGTAGATACAGTTCATTTGAAAATAAAGCCAAAGAAGAAAAGGACACAGGAGGTAAGACGCTGGTATGTAACACAGCACAGAAGAGGATGTGTCTGGAGCATCAGAGCTCAGGGTCAGCTGTGTGCCACCTCTGTCCTCTTTGGGGACACTTGCTAGTTGAGGTCAGACCCTGCCACAGAGGTACAACTCACTTTCTGGAGGTGTTTCAAAAGAGTATCCATAGGTGCTCTGAATTTACATGAATATAAATATTCATCTGGATGTTGGTTCACATTTTTTTCTGGGCACATAGCCAAAAGTGCAGTTGCTAATTGCATCAATTTCCCTGTTCTCTCTTCTGTAAAATCACTTTATTAGAGGAGTTGGTTAAATTCAGGAAGTGCTCCAATTCCTGGCTGTATCTCATTTGGCAAAGACTTGTAGATAAAGTGCTGTGCTGCTTCTCCCAGGCCCTGTGCCTGTGAAGGGCGTGCCTGTTTACACAGCTACACCGCAGCAGATGCAATCATATCAGCGTGAGATAATGGAACCGGTATCGCTTCAGTTATGAGGCTGAGCTGCTCTTTGATGGTCACCTGGAGCTGGGATAGCTGTCTCCATGCTGTGGGGTGTTTGTGGTCTCTCAGAATGGGAATATTTAGTGAAGATGGACCTCAGCACCTGTATATTTCCTCAGGAGTTGCTCGAACACTCTGCCAATAAACCTGATTTCAGCAGAATTTGCTGACATGGCTAAAAAGCAATTGCCAAGATCCTATATCCAATTAACTTATTCTGCACCTCATACAGTAAGTTAGAGAAATTGATGTGAATGTCACCATAAATTACTACAAAAATGCAAGGCATTGAAGTGTGATCCCTGAGTAGAACGTGTCCTGATCATCTAAAGAGTTACTAAGAACATCTGCTGTCTGTCACACATATGTTAGGGTCACCATGAGCTCCTAAACTTTAGGAAAAGCAACAAGCAGACAAAAAAAGAGCAGTCTGGTGGTAAATGAGGTTGAGTGGTCACCAAAATGGGCAACAAGGGCAGATGATAATGATGACTCTATGATTCATTCTAAGTCCTGGAAAAAGATGTTTTCCAACATCCAAAGTCAATTTCTATGAAATGACTGTGATCAAGAGAACTATAAGGGGAAAACAAAAACATGCTTTTAGTCTGGATTGTATCAGACATAAGCACAAATAAAATTTGGTTTTCTTCATGTTTCTAGCAGAGTTGGGGGTCCACTACACTGTAGCAGAGAATGTCAGATCAGCTCCTAAGCAAACAGTTCATGTCTGTCCTGTAAGGAAAGGCAGGCAGACAAAGAGAAAACCTTTAATTAAACCAAAAGAGCTTGAACACTTTCTTCCTTCTGATCCTGGTTCTATTCAGCCAGTACAACTCCCATGAATAGAAAACAAAGATAATAAGAAGAGGAATAGGACTGTCATGTTATGGAAAAAGGTCAATCCTGTTAATACTCACAAAATTAATTTAATTTCCAAACTTTGAGGATTTTAATTCATCTATTAACCTGGTCACCCTCCCAGCCTTTCCTACCAGGCACTCCACTCCTTTCCAGCTATGGAATCCCTGGGCTGCTACCATAGCACTAGGTAGGGCTGGAAATGATGGTCACACACAGTTTATTGAATGTAGTCACTCCTAAGAAACTGATAAAAATATTTCCCGAGTGAGAGATTTGCATTTCTGAGCCCATAGAATAGTGCCAGACCCAGCTGCTCAGAGATGCTCCTTTGAGATAATCAAATATTTAGCAGCCCTTGCTGCAGCAAACACCACATTAGGCCACATCTCTCAAAGTGGAGCTCTTCCTCTGTTCAACACCACCACCACAGGAGTGGGACTCCTCCAAAGGACAGCCAAAGCCACAGGAAGCACATGGGTTTCATCAAGGGCTGTCTGGGAGAAAGGGCTGGTGCCCTGGTACCAGGAAGAGTGGAAGAGCTGTTTGTTTACATGAGGCCAGTGCCCTATTAATGTTTTGATTCTTTACTGTATAATTTCAGTGAGTAGTAACTGTCAAATGTTCAGCAGCTTGAATTAAATAATTGATTTATTCTCTATAAATTTTCTAGGTCTACATTCCTTACTGTATTTACAGGACCAGACTCCCTCTCTGGGACTTGTATTTCTTCTGCGTTTCTTTTCCCACGCAGAAACTGCTGTTCCAAGAAATGAATGAACATTTTACTGGCTGAACTTATCATTTTCATCTTATCTGTGAATTAAGCTAAGGGTTTCCTCCAACACATAAGTTATTGGGAACTCTTTGTCATAATCATGTGGGAAATATGTCTCCATTTACAGGACGGATGAGCAATTCACTGAAGGTGTTGCAAGTCATACTGGTTGCATGCCAGGGAACAGTCAGGTCAAAAAACCATCACTGCAAATTCAAAATTTTCTTCTAGAAAAATGTTTCATCATTTGTTATTATGCGATCCCAGACCAGGACTTCCTGACTCATCCCAGGATTTAAAGTCCTATTTTTTCCTAAAATACCATCTCACAGCTATGCCCCTTCCTATACCTGAAGGAGCTTCAGTCAGACACAGCACTGTCAAAGACATCTTGCTCTGAGTCTGCAGCTGGGATCTCTCCAAGAGTTTATGGTGCCCTTCGAGGAGGAAGTGCTCTGCTGGTGGCAGCTCACGTGCCCCTTGCATGCCAGAGGAAAGCTGGCACGAAGAGAGAGGAATGGCCTCACATTTGATAAGCACACCGAGCGTTAAATATGGGATACAGCCTGTCAGGAGATAAATTGATTTTCTGCAATTATTCCAGAATCAGCTCATCGGCATCTTGGACTTAGCTCGGTCTCCAAACACACTGACAAACTAAGGGCTGCCTGGTTTCAGGCCAGTTTCCTTCCATGAAGCAGAAACTTCTCTGGTTTTAACAGCACAGAAAGTCCTGTTTCCTCCATTTGGGTGAAACAAAAAATCTGTAGGGATCAGTCAGAACTTCAGCTTCTCTTACTCTGAGGATGCATTTTAAGGATAAAGAATTCAGTTTCTTAAAGCAGAAACTATGGATTAAAGTGTAGAATTGATGCCAGAAGAAAATATTTATGAAGTGCATACTCCTCAAGCCAGGCAAAAAATGTGTCAGACCAAAACTCTGAAAGCTGAAATGTCAATAGGAATTACTTATAAATTAACTATTAAATGCTTGCTGAAGTGACAGACGTGTAAGGCAGGGTGCAGGCTTGTATGAGGAGATAAAATAATCTCTTCTGCTGTTAGATTGGTCTCTGTGAGGTAGCAGCAAATATTCAGTACAGAGACCTGTGTGCTCTGGAGAGCTCCAGCCAACAAAAGGGGATGGTACAGCCTCATTCTGCAGTCTTTGACAGGAAAAAACAAACCATACTGTGTTAGATTTGATCCTCAATAAACAAGAATATTAGTGAAGAGGCTACAAAGGATTTCCAGTTAGTTGTAAAATTTATTTTGAAGCTTAAGTGACTCATCATCCAAACCAAATTCTGCCCCATGTGTAAACAGTGCCTTGAGTGGCATTGTCTCCCAAGAAATACTAACTGGAAATAAAGTAATTTAATTTAAAGCTTTGCATTTCTTGTCCCTTTTACCCAAAGGAATCTAAGCACTTTGTAAGTGTGACAATGAAATTTCTTCAACGTTCCTGAGAGATCAACAGATGGACCCAAAGCCACTTGGAATGGCAGATAAACTAGGCAATGTGACAAACTTCAAGGGATAACCCAAGAAGAGGGCACGGGCTTTGGGGGGACAAGTGAGACTCCCACCCCTCTGAGTTTCAGGAGGCTGCAGAGGTGTGCAGCTGTCTTCTTTAGCACTGGCTTCATGAACCACCAGGCAGGGATGTGCCACTTCCCAGGTGTGCAGCCTGAACCTTGGTTTGGCTGAGAAATGTGACCAAATGCACTCCATGCTAATGCAGTCTCTCGAAATCCCTCAAGACTGTGTGAGCTGGGAATAAACCTCTGCAGTCGTGCATGGTAGCGACTCTCCCCTTCCACAGCACACGATAATAGTATTATTGTAAGCAGTGTTTCATGGTCACAAGGGAATGAGCTAATTGCAGATACAGCTCTTGGAGAAGTAATTGCCTTGTGCTCTTTTTACCTTTCTCTGGCTCATTTCTTCCCTCTCCTGTGTGAGGTCTGAAGGATGATTTCTGAGAGAGGAGGGCAAGGTCAGCAGCAGACTCCACACCACCTTCCAGCTGGACCAAAAGGCTTTTACAGAATCATAGAATTGTCAAGCTGGGAAGGGACTTCTGGAGATCACCCAGCCCAACCCTCTGCCAAAGCAGGGTCACCTGGAGCGGGTGACACAGAACTCATCCAGGTGGGGTCTGAATGTCTCCGGAGAGGGAGACTCCATGACCTCTCAAGGCAGCCTGTTTCAGCTCTCTGCCAGCCTCACTGCAAAAGGTTGAGGTGGAATTTCTTGTGTTATAGTCTACAGCCATTGTTCCACATCCTGTCATGGGCACCACCGAAAGTCTCAGCACTTTCCAATAATTTTACGTATTATTGAGATTCTCTCTCAGTCTTGTCTTCTTCAGACTTAACAGGCACAGCTCCCGCAGTCTCCCCTCACGAGGGAGATACCGCTGTTGAAAAACCATTATCAACCAAGCATCCAAGAAGCGCGGACAGGGTGCCCGGCGGCGGCTCCCGCAGGCACTCACGTCCCCGGGATCCCGGGGTGCGGCAGCCCAGGGCCAGGGCCAGGCGCTGCTCCCGAGGGGAGGGGACGAGCCGAGCCAGCCGCAGCCCGGCGCATCCCGCGGCCCGGCGGGCGGGGGCGGGGACGCGGGCGGGCCCGGAAGATCCGGGTCGGAGGGGACGGGAAGTCGGGACGTGGCCGCCGCAGCGGAGCAGGAGGCGGAGGGCGGGTGGGAGGCGGCGGAGGATGGCGGCGGTGCTGAGCTCGGACCGGCTCGAGGTCTCGGTGGACGGGCTGACGCTGAGCCCCAACGCCGAGGTGCCGCCCTGCGAAGCGCGGCCGGCGCAGGGCGAGCCGGCGGCGGGGCGGGGCCGAGCGGGCCCCGGCGCCCCGGGCGCGGCGGAGGCCGGCGGCGAGGCGGCGGAGGAGGCGGCGCTGAGCCTGGAGCGGCGCTGGGGCTTCGCGCTGGAGGAGCTCTACGGGCTGGCGCTGCGCTTCTTCAAAGGTGAGCCCGGCCGCACCGCCCTCCCCGGCACCGGGGCAGCCACCGGCGCCGGGGAGCCCCGGGCGGCAGCGCCCGCCGGGCCGGGCCGCGGGGCTCGGGCGGAGCCCCGGTGCCGCCCGCAGGAGCGCTCGGTGTGCCGGGGCGGGCAGCGCGTCCCGGCGGCCCGCGGGGATGCGCTTTGCCTGGTGCCGGGCGTGAGCCGGGGCGGGAGCAGAGGCTGGCACTGCCGGGGTGTGCAGCTCCCCGCCTAAAACCGGCGCGGCGGTGGGAGAGCTCGGTGCCGGTGGCACGGGAACGGAGAGCTCGCAGGCGTGGGCGAGGAGCGCTCGCCGTGAGCGGTGCCGCGCCTGCTGACAGCCGGGTCCTGGCGGGAGTGCCGTGCCCTCTCCTCAGTGTGCCAGCTCCAGGGCTGGCTTTGCTGCTTCAGGACGAGAGGACACAGCTTGAGCTGTGCCACGGAAAGTTCAGGGCGGAGATTACGAAGAATTTCTACACAAAACGGGTGATTAAACATTGGAATGCGCTGCCTGGGGAGGTGGTGGAGTCACCGTCCCTGGAGGTGTTTAAGGAAGGACTGGAGGCGGCAATCAGTGCCATGGTCCGGTTGACACGATGGCGTTCATAAGCTGGACTCGATAGTCTCAGAAGTCTTTTCCAGCCTAAATGATTCTATGATTCTGTGTGCCACCATGACCCCAGCAGGCAGCTGTGAAATACCGAGGTGTAGACCTGGAATGTTTTTGCTGGGATCTCCTGTAAGCCAGGTTTGCTTCTTGGGAAGGTGGACGTACCTTGCCACACGCGGTATCCTCAGGAGGGAGAAGAGGGCTGTGGCGTTTTTAGGGAGGAGCTGTGCTCACTTCACTGAGCACATTTCAGCAATGTTTCACCCCTGTGGCTTTCAGGCAGACCCTGCTTCAGGTGGGGCAGGCAGTACAGCCTCATGCCTGCATTAGGGAAGACAAGCTGTGCACTTGGAAAGGTCAGTCTTGTGGCAGTCAGTTGCTAGATGACCTCCCGGGGAGGCTGCCTCTTTCTAAGGGGAAGCACTTGCTGGCAGGTGGAAACACTGCTGGAAGGACAAAGCTATCTTTCTTCACATTAGCTGACCTGCACCTGGTAGTTGTTAGGAGTATGTGAGACACTAAGCAGTTTTCCTAACCCTGGTGCTTTCAATCTGTTCTGATGCCCTCCAACAAAATAGTTTTTTTTTTTTAGCATGTTAATATACAGAGGTGTTATTTTTTTTTTAAGCTGTAAAAAAAACATGAGCTTATTTTTTTTTCCTCCTGTATCAGAGCTTATCAGGTTGTGGAAGCATTGTACTCAATGTCTCTTTCTTCTTTCTGTAAAAGAAGTTGTTTAAAAGAGTTCTGGTTGTGTTTAATGATGCAGAAAGAAATGTCTCTGCAGCAGCAAATTCCTTGTCTTGGTCAGCTGTGGTCTTTTTCTGTCTTGGGCTGAATATTCTATGGGAACCTGTTTTTGCAGTATGAACTTGTGTTTACAGTGCAAAAGTTAGGTGCTGTGAATACTTTATCTATATTGTTGCTATGTAGCAATAACCTATATCTGTTATATCACGTTTTAACACAGTTTATGTTCTGGCTTTATCTCCTCTCTAATGGTGAAGTCTGTGCAGCGTTATTTGTGTGTAAGTTCCAGTTCCTTGCCTTGTGCTCTCTTAGCAATGTTTTTTTTTTGTTGCTGTTCTTTTTAATCAAAACTTTTTAATCAGCTTACTTCCACTCCTTTTTTAACCTTCTGCAATTTCTTGTAACTCATGGTACTCCTCATAAGATGATAATTTTCCCCATTCAATTGTGTTGTCAGTCTTTCCAGTGAAAATTTTGTTTCTCTATCCTTGTGGCTGGAATAACTCGCACAAAGTCATTGCTCATCATTTCATCTGTAGATTTTTTTCCTAAAAGTGACATAACACAAAGATTTTTATTTATAGGTCTGATGGGGAGCTACAGGAGCTTGCAATGCTTGGGTTACTGATTCTTCCAGCTTGTTCTATATCTGCACAGCTCCAAAAATAAGTGGTCTCATTTCCAAATTATTTTTATGCTGTCAGAACAACTGTGGGAGTGGGCACGCTTGGTTAGCAGCCCTGTGCATGCCAAGCAGCAAACAGGGATTCCTCCTGTACTTCAGGAGGCAACAGATCTATCTGAAGGGTGGCCTATGTTAGTAGGTCAGTGCTGAGATCTTGTTTCTGACCATTCTTCTAAAAACTATGCTGATAGTTAAGCGGCTTTTTTTCTGCTTCAGTCTGCAGCCCAAGTTGTCTGTAACTTTTGGGGTTACAAGATAAGGTTAATCTGAT